TAGGGTAAGAACCAGGATATAGTTTCAGGGCAGGATGGGCAATCTGGTGAGCTGAGTGGTTCAGGTGGACAGATGCACCTGAATGTCTGCTTTGTGTCTAATATTATCAGTCTGAAAATCATAACTGCAGTCAGCAAAACAGGTTTTCCACATCCTTCAAGCTAATGAGACAGACTTTTAAAGTACTCAACAATTTGAAGCGTTTTTGCTATTTCCGAATCGAACCTATGTTAAGAATTTCTTATCTCTGTCCTCCAAGCCAACTTCCACTCATCAGTCCATGAGTGGTTTGACATTTCTGCAGATTTTTCTCAATCATTGCCCAGGATTAAAGCTGCCCTGCGTCAAAGTCAAATGAGAGTCTATTTTGTAGTTAGATCAACTGGTATAGCAGAGAAATTTTACAGTTAAGGATTAAAACCATCAAACAGAGAGTTGGTGTTAGCCTCTGAAGTTATCAGTGCTAACTGTAACACCAAAATACAAAGTAAAACACCAAAATGCAGCTTGTCTCCAAACTGTAACGATAAAATGGAAGTATCTGATTACAGTTAAGATAGTGTTTGTGCAGCTATATTTAACTCGCCTTGAGGTAACACCTTCTATGCTCTTTCTTGAATGTCACTGCAGAATGGAACTAAAGTAGTTCAGGTATCTTTTTTTACATATTTCCAAAGTAATCTCGTAATCAGAGTCACTGGCTTCTTGCTGTAGTTTTAAGATTCATAGCATAATTAGACCCTGAAGCAAACTCGCACATAACAAATATCAGCCTGCTGAGGACAATCCTTTCCTAGCTGCCATGTACAAACCTCTCGGAATTAGCCTACTTGGTATCCCAAATATCAACAACTGACATAAGAAAATTGAAAGGTGGAAAAACATTTTGCTAGGATACTTAGGTTTTGATTACTAATATGCATTATTAAAATCAAGCTCTCATTTTAACTGAAGTCTTTGTTTAGATATTCTTTGGGTTACTCATCATATCTAATTTGAATGAGGAAAATACTGACAAAATTTCCAAAGAAAACAAGTTAGCCATTATGAAGCTAATGATCCAAAGATGCAAAGTGCCAGCTTTAAACTATATCTCTCATTTTGCTGAGCATGAATTCAGATATGCACTTATTACACTGGGCAGCTAATTGGTGTTTGTAGTTGCTGACTGCCTTGTCCCAGCTGGTCAGTATTGCCCAGGACATTCTTCTTTGCTATTTTTCTTCCTCTTTCACTCATTGCACATCCATTTGGGACTGAGTATGCACACCAATTTTATTCAACACTATGATGCCTCCAATCTGTTCTGTGTCTAGGTACATGCACACACAGGCACCTTCTCTTTCATTTTCCACTACTGTCTTTTTTGAGTGGACTAATTGCTGCAGAGAGATTTTAAGCACAAGTACTTGGAATTAAACTTTTGCTATGATTTTCCATAATGGGTAGTTTATCTTGGAAGATATAAAATTTCTGTTCAAGAAGTTGTCTAAGAATTACTCTCTTTAATGCTGGCAGCTGTCTCTTAGAAGAGTATGTCAGAGAAGAGAGCTTTTTGTAAAGTTATTGAGAATGGTGGGAAATAAGTATCTCTTATGAAAAGGTGATGTAAGGGCAGCTTGTGTTTGTGTATGTAAAAAGAAAAGTTCATACTTAAAATCTGAGTCTTCTTCCTTTTCTTCCATTTCTCCTTAAAAAAATTAGAGAGAGAGAGAGAAAGAGGTATAATCTAGGCACAGTACCATTTAAATGTGTTTCTACTATGCTTGGAACAAATGGGAACCTTGCATTGTTGGAGTTATTGTAAGATCTTTCACTGTTTAAGTGATGCTGTCTAAGGTTCCCCAAGGTGCTGGTTTTGAGTTCACAGGATTCTGGTTTGGAACTCGTAGCATATTAATTGTTTACATCAGGAGTCAGTATTTTCCATAACTGAGATGGAGATCAAATACCCCAAATTAATGCAACATTCAAATAAGTCTTTACTTTGGCACTATAACTGGCATCTGAATAATGAGCTATCCGCAGGAAGAGATGGGTTTGTCAGCCTATTATCACACAGAGCTTTGAGTACTCGTCTCATCTGGGGTCACATGCACGTATCGTACTGCTGTCTCGAAATACACTTCCAAAGTACTGAGTGATACAAGAATACCTGATGCAGCGAGCTGTGGAAGCACGAGATGCAGAGCCTTTTTCGTTGATGTGTTTGATGGTGGATAACCTTAAAAATCAATAAAGCCTGCTGCGGCGCTCAGCATCTTGATGAACTGCTCTTTGCTGATCCTTTTGCTTAGGCTTTGAATAAGTGATACTGTGCTGCTACGGTGCTGCAGAATCGCAGTATGAGATGATGCGGTGGCTGGAGCGAGGCATCCTCTAGCGAAGCTCTCTTTGAGCAAACCTTAGGTCTGATCCTGGAATTTATTATTTGAAATGTAGCTCTTGAGCTTTTCTCCCTACCAATTCAGTTTTCAAACCATAGTGCTTGAAGAGAGAGGATGTAAAATGGCAGAAAAGTAGTTCTCAAAGGCTTAAGCAGTATATTCAACCTGCTTGTAAATACTGCATTTCTTCTTCGGAAACAGTGGCAGATCATAATGCCCCAATTACAAAAATGGAAACAGCTATTAGGAAGAAGTGATTAAACAGAGCATTTCAACTTTGAGAGAAGTTTGGTAAGGCTGTCACCTAGAGGAGGTGACAAATGCAGAACCTTGTGTTCCCTACCAAAGTAAAGTTCACAACTTTAAATAGATAGTTTTTGAAGTACCCTTGACAGCTCAAAAAATGTCCTATCTCAGAGACAAAATGTTTGGGTATCTGGGAGCCCTAATTATGATAGGAATTGATGGGGAGGAGTGTGGCTGATGGATCTGAAGATAATTTCATAGAGGGTCTGCATAAAACACTCCAGACTTTCTAACTTCTTTTGAATGAAAGTAATTGAAATAGACCTAGAATTTACTGATGAAAAATGGAAGAGCAGAAGGGAGAGGAGAATGAAGTCTGAGATGATTTTATACATAGCAAAAATACATATTCTTTTCTGACTTCACCTAGCAGATGCTAGGACAGCACAGAGATATTCTCTCTCCTGCTTTTGTAAGGACATAGCCTTCTGCTACCTCTGATCATATGCATAAAAAAGCAGCATTTTGCTTTTAGGCAGTCTGAATCTAGTGATAGGGATAGAGAGTTTCTTTGAAGAAAAGCCCTAGAAAAATCCAGTAATGGGAAAAAAACTCCTGCTGAGAGTTTACAGGGATTTTTCTGCTGTTTTGTGTATCAGTAATAAAAGAGCACAGAAGGAATGGAGATTGGTGTCATGCAGTATGTGTATGTTAGGAAAAAGATCAGAACTTTTTGCATGCCACTAGTGCTGAAAACAAATCTATGACATTTTTCTCCTTATGAATCACATGTCTGGAGTACTTTGGGGATGGTAAAGAGAAAGGGGATGAGAGCAGTGATTATGGTTGTGTGGAACATTTTGTAATTTTCATTTTTTCATATTTTATGAGTAAGATTGTCAGATATGGAAAATTACTTGATTTTTATATTTTTATCTATTTATTTGTCCAGCTTTCAAAATGATGAAGAGATATCTGTCTCTCTGATGTCCTGCAGAACTTACTTAGGTTGGGCACCTGGCTGTGACCTTTCTCAGAGCAAGACTTTGTGCTTTCCTTGCAGATGGGGTCACGATTTTCCTTCCTTTGTCTATTGTGTTAACTCTCCAAGAACTGGAGTTAGTCCTGCACCTGCGGACTTACAGTCTCTTGAAGATACAGACAAGTTACCTCCTGGCCATGCAACTTTAAACAAATATTTGAGCACTATCAAAGCCAATGAGGACCTGATGACATAGGACATAATCTGTCTTCATGATAAATAGATCAAGTGTTGCCTTGTCTTCAGTGCTGCCAGTTTGTCAGTTCTCTTGAGTCAGGACTCAGTGGCGGTTTATAAAGAAGCATGAGTGTGTTCCTAGGTTACCTGAAGCATAAGTGTAATTAATGGCATTTTGAAGGATATGAGTGGTTTGGTTGTCAATGGAATTAGCGCTGGGAGTTGGTAGCCATGATTAAGGAGGGAGCTCCAGTCATTGGGTGGGAAACATGAAGTATAGATCTGTGCAAAGCAACAAAGTTCAGTCTGCATGCAGTGGCCGCACTTCAGTGTTCATTAATGTTAGCTTATCAGTCTCTATGCTTTTAATCCATTACATCTTTCATGGATATGTCGTACTTTCTTCCTTTTTTTTCTTCTAGAAAAATAAAAATCTTTCCCTCCAGCCATGAGAATTTTTTCTTCTATGTACAACATGTAAACTTTGTTGTAACACTTAAGCTGAAATTACGTTATTTTAGTAATTGCTGCTAAAGAGATTTTCTCAATATGTTCTCCCTCTGCCCTCAACCCCCCCCCCCATACCTGCTGGAACAGTTTGGTGTGACATTGGAGAGTTTACTCAAGAAGCAAATAAAGAACTATTACCCGTGCTTCAGGAAGTCTGAAAGAGCTCTGCTCTGAATATTTCTCAATGTCTTAGAAAACCAAATTTGAATGCCTGTCGTCTCCTCTTGCAAAAGACTGTCGGAGTCTAATTGGTATGTTTTATATTATAAGGAGGTCACTTTATTGTTTTTCCCTTCCAACAAATGAAGGATGGAAAATTCAAACACAGATGAAAAGGATTTTATTGTTGGGTTATTTTTCTTTCATGTATGGGATATGATTAAATGTATGCTGTCAAAGAGGGATCTTATTACAGGTTGATACTACTGATCAGTATTTGAGACCTGTAAACAACAGTATTATTTGATGTATAAGAAAATATAATTAAAAATTATTACATTGATATTTTATTTCTCACAGTGAAAACATTTCAAATATTCATCTCATGTTGTAGCAGAAATTACTTGGCTCAAGTAGATATCACAAAATCATGTTTTAATAATTTCTTCCTTTTTTCATCTTTTTTTTTTTCCCCACAGTCACATGACACAATCAGCCACATTTGAAGACCCTCGAATAGAGAGCTGCCAAATAACCCCTCCAGCCCCTCGGAAAGTGGAAATGAGGAGGGATCCTGTGCTAGGATTTGGTTTTGTGGCTGGTAGTGAAAAGCCAGTTGTTGTACGCTCAGTAACACCAGGTATGTTTTCCTCATGTGACCCCAAAAGCAATCTTGGCACTTCTTAGTATCACTAACTGGCTGCTTGCTAAATGAGAAAATAGCTGTAGAGATATTCCTAAAAAATTGTATTGACTTCTACTGTTTTCTTCAAAAGAAGTGCAATTATTTGAGAGTGTCAACAACAATTCTGTGAATGTATTTATACTGACCGGGAACTTAATCTACTGAGATGAAATATAGTTACAAATGTAAGAACTGCTGAAGTCTTCAAGCAGAAAAAGTAAAATTGCTTGGTAGATAGTATTAGGAAGTAGTTTCCTCCTTTTTGAACCCCTAGGTAAATACATTAACAAAAAGTCAATTTTAGATTATTGCTCTGAGCTGTTACTATTGTTTGCCTGAAACAAAATTATCTACTTCATTCAGAAAGGAAAGTCTTCTCCCAGTTATGTTCATATTGATTTGATGTCACCCTCATTGCCATCTAATCAGCATTTCAGGAGGTGTACGGAGTTGCATGATTATAACTTACATATTCTCATGCTGTCATCGGCTTTGAAGAATATTATTGCTGGCAATTTTTTTTTTTTTCTTTTCCTTTTTTTTTTTTTTTTTTAAGGATTCCTCTGTTTAATCAAGCGGCAAAAAAAGCAAGATCAAAACCTACCTACAAAACTTCCTAACAGCAGTGAAAATTATTGAGCTTTTTGGTATTTTTGAATTTGTGGGACTGCTTAGTCTCCTGAACCAGCAGGCTTTATGCTTAAAAGTTCAGTTGTTACATAAATTGCCTTGAAGCTAAGGACGGGGATTTGACTTTGCTCCTGTTCAATATGTTCTGCAGAATCCCCATAGAGAGCAGAGGAGAGGCAAAATTGACTGCATGGAGTTCTGATGTCATTTACCCGCGTGTGTGCATTGATTTTATTTGTATTGCTTTCAGATGGAGTGAATGTTGTAACTAATATTTGAATTGAGGCAGACAGATCTTTTCTCCCAAGTTAGCATTATTAATGTAATTTTTTTTTGTTTGTTTCTTTGATTTGGAAAAAGTATTACCTTGCATTCCAAGTGAATAGAAGGAAAGATGAGTTCAAAGCAACGTTCTTGTATATGGAGTTGTATCCATGAATACTGGGTGTATAAGCAAAGTAAAATCTTCAAGTCAAAGAGAGAGAGGAACAGCATTAGCTTAACTACTAATTGAATTGTTTCTGATACTGAAACATTTTCTTTTAAGACTTTATCTTCATATTGGTGATTTTTTGGATACTTTTCTATGTATCGTGAATGCAGAGTTTAAAGGCAAGAGACTAGAGGATATAATTTTTGATTTTGAATTGTGATATTATTCTCTCCTTTGGGCATGTAATCATGCTGGAAGCAAAATATGATGTGCATTTTATAAAACATAGCATAAATTTAAATAGTGTCAAAATTCAAAAGCACATAGGCACGTTTGATTGCCTAGTTACACTAATCTTTAATGTCTGCATCTAAGTGAAAGTACCAGTGCTTTTGAACACATTATGTAAAATTCTGTTCACCAAGTAGTAGGAATGCAAAGGAAAAGAGACTCCAAGACTGGAGGCATAGAAACTTACTATTTTAGGACTGAAGGAAGCAGGTTTGTTTTGCCCAGAACAGGAAAGTCAGAGGAAAGATGAGCAGATGACTTTCAAACATGGTGAGTGACGTTTCATAGAAAAGAGGAATATGTTGTTCACCAGTGCTACTTTGGCTGGGACAAGAAGTAGTGTGTAGACACCAGAGATGATTTCCTGATCTTAACATTACTTAAAGAAGATTACAAAATTATAGGAAAAGGAGTCCTTACCTGGGGTGGTCTTATATGAATGTCAAACAAACATTGATAAGCAAGCTATGAATTATGACTGATCACAACTTGAAGAATGAATTAGGTCACTCTAATGGGCCCTATTTCTCCTCCAGAAAATCTAGCCCTCATTTTTAGGTGCCCAAATATTGTTTTGGAACTTGAGTAACTTCAGTAGAAACTGTTTAGTCAGTGGCTTTCAAGATATTCTTGGTGAGGAAGTAAAGTTTTAAAAAAGTGTTAAACACGCCAGTAGTTGAAGAAAAAGGACTCATAGCATATGAACTGCAGAGTGTGCATGTGCATTTCGAATAGTCTACTAACCTTGCTTTTTTTCATTTATCTGCAGGCGGCCCCTCTGAAGGAAAGCTTATACCTGGGGATCAGATCATAATGATTAATGATGAGCCCGTCAGCACTGCTCCGAGGGAAAGAGTCATCGACCTTGTCAGGTAGATGATGTCCTGTCACTTAAACTATGAACCCACTGGCTTACTTCCTGTGCCGTTATTTGATTATACTGCAGACTTGCCTTCTCAGGGTGGGAAAAAGAGAAAATAATGTTATTTCAGTCATAATGAATAAGGGTGAGATAGTCCAGAATGGAAATGAAGTATCTTTTTAAATGTCCTTTGGGTAGCTGTAAAAATATAATAGGGTATTGGAACAGTTCCAAAATGCTTGAGTATCAAAAGAGGAATAGTATTCTCTGGGCATTTTCTTTTGGTATGAGTTATTGAAAAGATAAATCCTGGAGCTAAGCAGCTTCAGTCATTGTTTGTGCATTTTTTACAAAAAGAAAGTCGAGACAGTCTGTTGTATGTGAAAAGTAAAGAAGATGTGTTGAGGGAATTTTGATGTGAGTGACCAGCGGAGATAGGAGTATATAGAGAACCTCAAAGAGTGGTACATGTTTGGGTGGATTGCTGGTAAAGAGTTTGTGTGAGGAGAGCAGGCAGGGCTGTGTAAATATGAGGCAGAAAACAAGAAGAATGTGTGACTGGATACTTCAGGAAACGAAAAGTGTCAATATTTATAATGGGCCATAGAAAGAAAGGAAAGAGAAACTGAAAAATGCTCAGGGTGAAGAAACTAATGTAATGTGGCCAACAAACTGTATTTTGAGTAACAAGAAATGTTAGTACATTGCATTAAAAAAACCCAAACCTATTAATTCAAAAATTAAAAATTAAATATAAGACTGTTTACTTCAATTTTCAGGACCTAGGTCGCTGGAGACGTGTTTGGTTTCTATGTCTTCTGTCTCAATGATACAAACTCTGAATTGGTCCAATTAATTTCTGGGACATATACAAGTTTTAATTGTGCAGGTACCTGTCCTTAGGACTGTAGTTGTCAGTGTTATCACTGTCACCTGTATAATTTTGAAAAGTTGCATTTGCTTCCAGAAATGGATGAGCTGCCCTTGTAGTTGTATTCCCCTTACAGATTGCATTTTGCACAGATATATGCTCAATTCCTGGGGAAAGGAGCTACAGAATGAAAGCCTCTTCACTACAGCAGTAGAGGTGCAAGCAACACATGCTAATCTTTATTAGATGAGTGTGGTCAAAATACCATGCATTTCCAGATTTTAAAAAATGTATTAACCTGAAAGTCACATAACAGTCAGGAGGGAACTTTGACGCTTGCTTTTTGCTGAAAAAGAGACTCCATAAACTGCAGAAACAATCTTATTCCTGTTAAATTTGTCACTTACTGTCTCTTGACCAGTGGCATAAGCTTCACAAATGGATCTTAAATTCATTTTTTATATCATTGTGTCTTCATAAAGGGTTCATATTGAAGTCTTCATTCTTTTCTTGAATCTTTGATATCCTAGTAATCAGAATTAGGATTTCCATCTCACTTATATGCTTCCAGCATTATATAGTAATAACAACTAGGAAAACTAGACTGATTACAGCTGAAACAAACAGGCTTACTATGTGGCTGATTCCTCTGTCTGCTCTCGGATGAGAAACTGAATAAGAATGTAGCCCTTCCTAATTACCTGGATTCTACAGGTAACAAACCAGGTGCTGTTGTATTCCAGGGGAATCTTTTGGTGATAAATTATAAGCCTGCTCTCAAAATCTATCTGCCATTGGAATTTTGACAGAAACTCGTTCTTTGATTAGACTCAAAATGAAATGTACTGGAGTTGTATATTACAGCATTTGAAATGAAGAGCTTTCTTTTCATGCCAGTGGGAAACCTGGAATGATTAGAAACCGTCGCTGTATGTCCTGACATCACAGCAGAAGCTTTACTTTACACCAATGAAGTAATGTATCCCTTTTATATAACAAAATATTTTCGTAAGGATAGGATATGTCTACAACTCTGAAAACAATACTTGCTTTCAGCTTTCAATGTGGATGGAAGTGATTTTGAAATCTTGTTTTCCGGCTGATAGCAATGAGTATGTTTTAGATGCATAAAGGAGGCGGTGAGTATAATCTCAGAATCATTCAAAAATTGAGGTGGAAGGGATTTCTGCAGGTCAGTTCAGAATCTCTTGCTCAAAGCAGAGCTAGTGTCAAAGATGGATATGTTTTCTCAGCACCTGTCCAGTCAAGTTGATCTCCAAAGAGAGCCATACTGAGCAGATGTTTCAGTGCTTAGCCAGTGGCATCATAAACAGTTTTCTTCCCTATATCCAACTGGAATTTCCCTTGGTGTAAATTGTGGCCTTTACCTCTTGTCCCATGTCTGCCCACCTCTGTGGAGGGTCTGGCTCTGCTCTCTTAGCAATCTATTAGATATTGGAAGACTTGGCTTTCTCCCTAAGTTTTCTGAGGCTAAACCCTCTTTCCTTAGTCAGTTCTAAGTCTTGTGCTTAAGCCTTATAGATATCTTAGAAGCCCTCCACTAGTTGTTGTTAACTATTACCAGCTTTCTGTCAGTGAACATCTGAGATCCAAAACTGGAAAGAATGGTAAATGTACAGCTTTGCAAGGGAAAGAAATAATTAGTTCCCTCAGCTTGCTGGCTGTGCTCTTGCTTGTACAGCACATTATACACTTCACTCCACTGGCAGAGGACGCTGTAGACTTATATTCTAGTTGTTATCCAACAGGATCCCATATCATTTTCTGTGGAAAATATTCCTGAGACTGAAATGAACTTTACTGACCCGGAGTTTCCTAGCCCCCATTCTTTTTTTTTTTCTTCTTTTTTCTTCTTCTTCTTCTTTTTTTTTTTTTTGTTTGTTTGTTTGTTTGTTTAAGCAAAATATTCCTTTTTTTCAGTCATTAGGAATCTGCTTTGATCAATGTGACTTTGCAAAGATGTTAAACAGCAACTTTTCCAAGGCATAAACCAGCTTCCTCAGCAGCCTTAGATTCACCCCACCCAGGCCCATGGACCTGTGAGCGCTCCTCTTGCTTAGCCAATCTCTAGTTCAATCTTTGTCCAGTAATCACAGGGATAAGGGTGTCTTGAAAGCATAGCTTGCTACTGAAGACTGAAACAAAGAAAGAATCAACTACCTCAGCCATTTTAATGTCTTCCTTTAGGTTTCCCATCTCATTCAGCAGCTTTCCCTTGGCTTTTCTTTCATTGCTGATATATCTGAAGAGGCCCATCTTAATCTTCATGTCTTTACTGGTTTCAGTGGTAGTTAAGCTTAGGCTGAGGCTGACTGGTAATTCCGTTCCTGCCTAGCCAAGTTGTACTTTTCTGTTTCTCTTAGGTAGCCTGCCTCCATTTCCATCTCCTGCACACCTGTTTTGTGCTGGATCTCACCCTGGAATTCTCTATGAAGTGAAACTGGTGTTTTACCTTGAATAACCACTTCCTTGCAGATCAGACTGGACCATTCTGGCACTTGAGGGAGGCTCTCCATGAAGATCAACCTTCTGCTTTTCAGAGCTGCATCAAATTGAAGCCTTTTCTTTAGCTTTGTGTTGTGCCATGTCTTGCACAGTGCTGTAACTAGTCAGTGAAAAATTGATATTCCAACACAGTATTTTTCTCTGATTATATGGTCTGTTGCTGATTAGGTATAGTAAGGTATATATTATATTTGTGATGTGAAATTCTATGACTGTTTTCATGTAGCTTTACCTCACAGCTTTTTGTAAAGACAAGAAATGCTTTGACTCTATGATTGCAGAGAATAAGAGAAAAAACAATCTACTTTAAAATTACAGGCACAGGATCACAAACAAAGAAAACAAACAAACTACATTTGAAAAAAGACAGATTTCATAACTAGGTAATCATAGAGCTTTATCAAACTTAATTGGACTCAAAACTTTTAAATAAAAGTATATAAATGTTAACTGTTAGGTGAACCTTGAAAATTGAACAGAGTTGTTAGTCTAATGCAATATGTAATTGTTTTCAAAAAAATTGCTGGGAAATTTACTTTTAAAAAGTTGTGGTACTGAGGAAAAAGAAAATGGAAAATGAAATTTTTGCTCCACTCCATCTTCTGAATTTCCACCAAGGAGCACCATGGTCATTTGCTCACCCCCACCTCCCCAGAGTCCAACTCTCAGTGGGATGGGGGAGAAAATCAGAACAGAAAACCAAGTAGAAAAGGAAGAAGAAAAAGATAATAGTAATGATAATTGTATATATACAAAACAAGTGAAGCACAAACAATTGCTCACCACCCTCTGACCAGTGCAGAGTCAGGCCCCAAGCAGCAGCAGCAGCCTTCCCTGGCCAACTCCCCAACATTTTTCAAGTTTTTTTCCACATGATATTATATGGTTTGAAATGTCTTTTAGCCAGTTTAGGTCAGCTGTGCTGGTTCAGTCCCCTCTTAGCTCCCCTCAGCCTCCCAGTGCCCTCCCAGTGCCTCCTCACTTCACTTGCAGGACAGTACCAGAAGCTGAAACAGCCTTGGCTCTGTTCAGCACTGCTCAGCAGTAACTAAAGCATCAGTGTGTTATCAATATCATTTTTCTCCTAAAGCCAAGACACAGCATCATACCAGACACTATGAAAGAAAGATCAATTCTGTCCCAGCTGAAACCAGGACAAAGAACACTTGAAAAATGTCAGTTAAATCTTTTTTTCATTAGCAAAGAGCATGTCCCTAAGCAATACATTTGCTGTATTTCTAAATTATCCACAAAATTCATAGCATCCATGTTTTCAGATTATTTTGTTCATCTTCAGCAAAACAGCTGCAATTTCAGCTATCTTATCAGGTGCAAATTCATTATGTAATTTAACTCCTAAAAAATGGTTAAAAGTGGTTATGCCAGTCTTTTAAGGAAGTCCATTTTGTGTAACAATTTTACTACACGAAAATGCAGGAAAATAAGAGGAACACAAATTTTCACAGTGTCTCTATTGCATGTTAATATTTTAATTGTTTAATTATTTCTAACTATTTCTTACTGAAATGAGCCTTCTTAACTATAAAACTGTATTTAAAACCACCTCTGCAGACTCCAGGGCTGCAGAGAAGGAATATGGTGAAAGATTTTGGTGGTGGTTTGTTTTTTCTATGTTTTTGTGTATATTTGTGGGTTTTTTTAATGCATTAAGGGATACTATTGTTATTCTAGGAGGTCTCAGGACTGAGGATTATCAGAGTTATTCATTATAAATATCCCCTGTAGATCATTTTCATCCATCTAATTCCTTTAGTCCTGTTTTACTGGCAACATTTAATTAGTGTTCAACTCATCCTTTGAAAGCCAAGGTTGCAGAGAGATGAATACTGCGTGGTTTGCAGACCAAATACATAAGCACTCATTATTTCTGGGTAATGCTCAATGGCTTTTGTACCATATTGAGTTCTCCTGAGCTATTTTCAAGCAGAAATCTGGAAGTCATGTTTATGGCTTCCCATACAAAGAGAGGTCACCTTTACGAGAGTCACTTGTGGTTGCATTCTAGAACTGTTCCATTTAAGACAGAAAGTTATTGAAGTTGGAAAAAGAAGAAACAAGCCCAGTTTTCTAAATGTATTGTTAAAATCAAAGCAAGAAGCAAGTGAACACAATACTAAAGAAAGAAGATGCATTTGAAGTACATACTGTTCAAAACTGTAGCCCAAGCTACTCATCCTGTTTTTATTTTACTGCCAATACAGATTCTGCGATACACAGCTTTTTATTCGTCC